AATATTAAACCGGTCCGGGACTTTTGGGACAGTCTGTATAATATTTGATGGGATCCAAAACAAAAAATTCGTCAAGATCACGATTTTAACACAGTGTTAAAACCATTAACAACCACTACAACATGCAAGAATATTTTAGTGTGCAATTAAAGTTAAATTATATTTGAAACTAAAATCTAACTAATCATGTGGCAAAAGTTAACAACTTAGCATTGCATGCGGAATCCTGATTTATAGTGGCAGAACAGTTGTTAAAACTTGGATCAGTACGAATTCAGCGAAACCTGTACAGCGCACTGCGTCTTAAATGGTTGTTAATAATTTTTTAACAAATATTTCTACACTTTATATATGATATAAATTAGTTTTTGGAAGTTTAACTTTTTTATAAGTTCGTCTCTATTAGAAAACTTTAGTTAAATAAAGAATATTTATTGAAAATTAAGCTTATTTATTCCCTAAACTAATTTTAGCAAATGTATTTCAGTAAATACATAAAGAGTCAACCCATACAACCAGTGTGCTTTTTTAGAATCATAGTTCTGTTGAGTAAACGGTGCATGTTCAAATCCCACACACATCGTATATTATTATTAGGTTATAAAATTTATAATTTATGAAAAGGCAATTAACATCCCATTTTTATTCAAAACTATTTCCTTTATTTGCTTTACAAATAATACAACAATTACAATTAAAAAGGAATATCAAATGTTTGGATTCTCGAGTCTGTCAATAAAAAGTTAATTATTGAACTTAAATGTCCAATCAATAATTAGCAAGTATAGAATAATAGTATACTTCACAAATAAGATATATTAATGGGTGCCAAGACATATACACGCTTATCACAGCCATGGTTTTCTCGAAATACCAACAAAGCGATTGACTCACCCAATCTTCAATAGTGCCAGCCTAGGCCACAGAGAAAATACACAACTATGCTACAATGTAATTCAACAACAGTCCATATACAATGTAGGAGTGTACGTGTGAATGGGAATGCCCTAGTTAACTCAACGTTACAACCACTTAAGCCTAGACTAGACACGACATCGTAGAGTTAGTGGCGTTGTTGAGGCAGGTCTGACTACATAAACTATTGATGCGTGTTACTGTTGCGTTCTCAGGCGTAAGGTAATGTAAGATAAACATGTTTTAACAGCCCACACTTATAACGAGCTACAAGGTTTATACGATACAACAACATATGATTATGCATACTTTGATAATCAATAATTTAACCTAATATTACTTAATCGTTCTGATTGTTTTAACATATAATTTATATGTGCCGAATCTACCCTAACTTCTGACTCATTACACAACTAAGAGGTTAAGCTAAAGTAGGACTATTTTTTTAAGATGAGAGCACAAACATTTATATTCGATTTATAACAGAAGCACACAAAAACTTTCCCTTTATATAATTTTTGTATTATCATTAGTATAATTTTGTTTTAAATGTTTGCATCAATAATACGTGTATTAAGGTGTCAGGTTCCTATCAGTAGGGAGGTCACGAATCGAGTGGTAAAGCAATACTAGTGATCAGGTATCAAAGTGGATTTTGCAAATTTCAGTTGAGAAATACAAACAAATTTTTCATGCTTAACATTAGAAAGCATATTTTTGTAATTATTCATAAAGAATGACCATCCAGAATTGCTGATAAAACGTCATGCCAATTTCTGTGATGCCATTTATGATGCATTATATTAAAATCTTGCAAAAATCTCAAACACAGTCTTTGAAGAACCATCGTAAATGAAGAAGGTAAAGTGTATGTCAAGTAGTTGGCCTTCGGATTTTGTGGGTTACCAATCGGCTGAGAGGAGATAAGAATACCAAAAGCCACAAGCAAACAAAACTTAGAGTTTATATTTTATGATGTTCAAACTGAGGTGTCATAATCATAAAATAGTATTTAATTTTCATGAGAAATTAATCATGATTATAAAAAGGTGTTCTATAAAAATGAAATAGTCTCACGTAGAATGTTCAATCGAAATCGATCAACATTTACCAATTATTTACCATATTGTAAGTCAACAATTTAAGTATAAACATATTATTACAAGTGTTATTAGACTTATATTTTGTATTTTCAGACATACTTATGTAAAAATAGATTTTCTAAAGCCAACTAATGATAAGTCGATGCTAATAAATTAACCAAACCAAATAACTGTAATATTCAAGTGTAAATTTTATAAAATTGATTAAAAGTTAAAATACCCAAAGGTAGTTAATTGTATACATCGATGTATAATAACTCCCGATTATACATCGATGGTTGTATATGGCCACATATGGCCACACGAAGAAAACGTTATTTATCTAAGAGTGTACTTACACCAACGCAAAACGAATTAGCCAAAAACCTTGAATTTAATCAGAAGTTCTGGTTGATAAATCATTAATAACATGCTCAAAAATACAGAAAATATTAACTTTTTTGTTACAATGAAATCCTGTCAACATATACTTGGAACAATATCCTCATGAAGGGGTGATAGAGGAAATGTTTTTATGCTAAACAAAGAAACACCATTTAGGCAAGGACTGCTTTGTAATTAAGCCTGTTGTTTATCCAGAGCTCATTGTCATTACAACAAACTTTCTCTTTGTTGTTCAACTGGAAATGAACAAAACAATCCTGAACAGTAATCTCCCTTCTTCAGTGAAAGCAAGCCGGACATTGTGTTTACTGTTTGGCTTCATTCACAAAATACTAAAAATAAATTTACACATGGAGTCAGTTAGTAAAAGCATTATAAACTTTAATTCATAAACACAACTTTATTAAATGTACACGTTTGTTTCAGACCACTAATTAATTATTAGAAAATATACACCCAATTGTTTGCAGTGTTTTTATTGATAACACATTGAAGTAAATTATAATTTATATTTTTCCGATATCAGATTGTTGATGTGGAGTCATAACACAAACTTAGTTTTCCTCTAGTGCGTTTGTAGATTTTAAAACTATTTCAGAAATGAAATTGTTCTTGCTGTTGAACCACTGCTTCTTAAAAAAAGTGTTGACTGTACCTTTTTAAAACAATTCACAATTTTAAGCAAGCATTGACACTCAATTTCTGAGGATTATAGAGAATAGCATTCTAAGTAGTTAGGATTATTAGTTTGAAAATTAACGCAACATTATAAAAAAACGCAAATTTCCTGGCCTAATCTCTCTGTACATTCGGATATTATACTATTATTGAGATTTATAGCATGCAAGTGCATGTTTGCATACACTGCAAATGTAATAATATAACTTAACATGTAACGGTTTGAGTGGTATTTGATATGGAACATTAATATATATGTATATATAACATATGTATGAAGGCAGTGTTGTCCTTCCTAATGGCCTAAAGATAATTTACTTAGAAAATATAAAACCTAAAAATACATTAAAAATAATACACTTAAAAAACCACTCTTAGAACCATATTTCCTGGTAAAAAACCATTCACACATAAATAATAGTAACATTACATAAATAATGTATTTAGTAAAAAAATATATATAATAAAGCATAAAGAGTCTAAATTTCAGTGGTATTTTAATGAAGCGCACCAAAACGCTTCTTAGTCATACATCTCTGAGGTCATGGGAAGTGGCTTGATTAAGAAATTGATCAGGTCAAGTGCGGGCTCTAATAGTGCCTCTCCATCCCAAACCACTCTTAATCAGTTGCAGGCTTTTGGGCTTGCCTACTGAAGGCTCCACATTTAATTGGGCTTAGAGCAACAAGAAATACGATTATATAAATTGTAGTTAGAAATTCCATTGAATTAAATAATTATTTTTATGTCCATTTAGAAAATGTTACACACGAAGTTAATTTCACTGAAATAATTAGAGTTTAAAATTTGTTTTAAATATGATCATCTTTAAATGATAAGTTCTTAAAAGAGTATATTGCATTTTTGAGCCACGAAAAATCCAAAAATATAAGTTATGATTGTTAAGAAAGATTGGGTTTTTTTAGGATGAATCCAATGCAGTGAAAGGAGGAAATACCACTAAAAGAAAGTACTATCTTTTGGAATCTTTTCGGTCCTAGGATCGTAGGGATTAATATAAGTAATGAAATATAATGAAAGTAATCCGGATTTCGGTAAAACTGCTCTAACACGCAAGGGGTATCGGTGTTTAAGTCAGAACAAAGATACATTGAGTTAAAATATATTGTGGTAGATGAAAACATAGGAAGGCATTAGGAACATAGGAAGGATATATTTGAACAAGATTATACACTAATTAAATATGGTTGGTTACGACAATTTGGAAAAGGGACATCATATGATTTTATTTTTAGTATTCATAACAACAATATGGGTGGCATGCGATTTATTGAACATCACCGACAATGTGTCAAAACTGGAGTTTAACGTCATTTAAAGTTTCAAGATTAATTGAGACAATGTATAATGTATATATTTTTGACGGTTAAAAGTAGCTCGGATTAAAAGTCGTGGCACTCACAATTGTTTTATTTTATCGCCATTATATTAAATAAAACACTTAACAGAAACAGTTTTACACATTATTCTGGGTAAACAAATTGGAAACTGTCAAAATTGGTTATGCTAAGTGTGCAGATAATGATAAAGAATAGCAAAAATATATCGGTGATATACATGACTACAGTATGTATTGCTATATGTGACACTGAGGTTATTCTAAAGCAATATACAATACAAATGAATAATTTGATAATTTCAAGCCTTTTTAAATAAAACAACCACGTACGTTAATCACCAAGTCATGCTGTATGGTTATTATGGACATAAAAAAACACATGGTCATGGACATGGTTGATTCAATCAAACATATAAATAGAATTTTATAAATATAGAGAACTTTGACTAATTGTTATCTCAAAGGGAAACCTCACTATAGACAAACAAGCCTCTAAAGAAACCACCTAAACATGAAAGACTTTACACAGGAAGTTTTGAAACTCAATGAATGCGGCAGCCCCTCTTTGCGCAACCATTGGTGAAAAACAAACAATGAATTACAGAGGCGCGTTTACAAATAACGCGGGAAACGGGAGCGGGTGTAGTACCACGTGCTATTCAGCATTGGTAGACTGTGGATGCTAGACAGACTCGGGGTTGTGGGGGAATGTTTGAGAGGGGATGCGTTCGATAAGCTTCGCCGCGTTGGGCGCTGGGTCCCCATGGCAACCGGCGGGAGACACCAGACGAGTCAGTAAGTTCGGGATATCTGTTCCGGCGGGAACTCCACGCGGCTTCCCGCGTTTTTTGTAACACTGACTGTCATGTTGAAATATTTTACCTTCGAATGTATTCACTCAAAAAAGTGATTTTGAAACTCAATTCAACGTTATAATCGTATATTCAACTGTTTGGTGTATTTTAGTGTACTGTTTGTGTGATGTCACTGAATGTGATTAGTGTTATGTGATTATGTGAGATCTTCACCATGGTTCCCAACTCGACTCACACTTCATGGATATACCTCTCGGCTGTTGTTCTCAGTCTTCTAATTCCAAAAGGTAATTCTGTTTGTGCTTTGCTAGTTATTTTGTTAATATTAGTACAGTTGACAGACTGTTTGGTAAAAAAAAAAGTATACGAGTTTTCTGTAAGGTGTAAGTTTAAATAGCTTATCTCCATACACAACTGTCTTACGTGTTCCAAAAGATACTGTCTAAATACCCAAATTAAATATTTATCAATAACATAACTTTATTTTACTTTTTAATTTTACTATTCAACTGACAGCTCCATTTTATAATACTACCCTAAACCAGCAGCTACCTACCATTATGCATTTTTCTACAGCTCTTGAGTTAAAATCAAAATAAGGTCGACCACTGTTCAAGGAATAGTCCTTAAAAATCCAAAAAATACGTCCGGTAAGGATTACAGGTTTCGAACATTATGTCATTGGAAAATTTACGCTTAAAATCATAAATCTTACCCAGGTTTATTAAGAATTTAGTAATAGGCCATTGAATTAGAGTGGTTAAATTTGCAACTTATTTATTCTCTTGTAAAAATACATTTTATACATCCAACGATAGAATGAAAGAATACTATTTTCCAACACAGTTTACAAATCTGAAAATAATAAAAAATACTGTAAGTTGAAGGCATATCATTAACTAATACATGATTTGAGTTTTTTCATTCTTAATTGGAAAACCAACAATGCGTGATAAACAGTAAGAATAATGTTTTAATATTTTATTGTATCAAACTAACTTTAGCAGTTAACGGTGAATGTAGCTGTTGAATAAATTATACGATAGCCTCTTATAACCAGACTAATATCAGCTGGTAATTGTTAGCCACAGTCTGATATCAATAACAGTTTTCAACCAATAACACTTACATTATTTTGGTTACAGAAACTAAATTACAAATCCATTTTTTAACTAAATGCAATCATGAAACCTAAAGCCGACTGGATTAAACTTGTTGTTTTACTAACCAAAATAATTACAACAAATCGAAATGTAATTATACTAAACAACGATGATCCGTCGTGCATTAGTTAAACTTTCACTGTAATCCATTCAATAACTGGGTGATTACAGTAATGTGTGATTAATAAATAACACATGAGATAAATGTTATTTCGTGGCTTTTCAATGTGGAGTTTATATTTACTAACAAAGAGTAAAAAAAAACGAGTATAAGATTTGGTTACGCCAAAAAATAACTATTGACTAAATGTAAATTTCTTGTAGGGTAAATTTTAGAAATTCTAATTGTAAGAGTTAAAAGAGAGTAAATAAAATGCGTATGTTATAGAGTATTTGTGAGGCAAAAACATCAAATTAAATATCTAAACATTCTGTTCAATGCGGTTAAATTGGCTTAGTCTGAATGCGAGTTTTCATGTCAGTGATCTTTAGGTTTACTATTGACAAAATAGAGCCTTGTGTTGCTCAAACAAAGTGCAAATTTGCCAACTACTTTATCCACCAACTGGGCTTTACTTTAAAAATAACTCATTGAATTTCAAGCCCTAACCTATTTTAATCTTTGGTGTTTTTCGGTGTTGGCTTTACATGTTCCCGCAGAAAACAGTCTAGCAATAGTCATTTGGCCACAGTAGATGAGCTAGAAGTTAACAGTCACCTTACAAGATCAATATTATTGCCAATATTATAGAATATTGACAATATTATTGAGTGTACCACCTCGTGACTGATGGTTTGACGACCGATATTTATGCAAATCAAGAAATCTTTAAATCCAGCTATCAATACCGGAAGTTTACGGAGGATATTGCTAATAAGAAGTATATGCGTGTGCATCAATAATAATGCGAAACCATTAATAAGTAGTGGGGTGTACGTTACATACTGTATTCCCATGTTCGTAACGTTCGTAAGATTCATAACACTATTGACCAATCGTATGGGCCCTAGTGTTAGACAAACGTGAAGTTTTTGTTAATAATGGTTTTTAATACTTGCCGATATGACATATTCACTGTGATATTTGTACCATTAGAGGTTTTTGAAAAGTGTAAACCTGTAATTTATTGCTTTTCATGAAGATGCGTGTAAATCGCCTGATTCAAAGATTCAAAGATTTATTTGCCGTTAAATATTTACAATAAATACAATAGGCTTCGTCATGCTTATAACTAGAACAGTGCAAATTCACAATGCAAGTGCTTCCCAAACTTAGGCTACATAAGAATGACAAAAAATATAAATATGAAACCTGATAAAAAAAAAATATAAATATGGAACCTGATTTGGTCCGGATGGAAGGTACAGCAGTTAGGGGTTTAATAGGGCAGAAGAGGTGTTGAGGTTGGTGTTGTAAAATTCATTAGTATGGTAAAAAGGATGCAGAATGAGCCAAGACTTCATAACCTGAGTGAATCTTGGAAGGGGAAGGTTTCTGACGGTGACAGGCAGCTTGTTAATAAACGTATACCTGATGTCCCTTTACAGGCAACAATGTAAATTCGTCAAAGAAGTATGGATTTCATGCGTTGGATCGGACTTAAAAATGTTTGCGATGAACTTGAAGCAAGATTTTCTGAACTCTCTGACAACCCATCCTCAAGCGGATTATAGTTTACTTAAAAAAAAACTACTAATAAGTATTTTCATTAATTGGACTTGGGCGTTGGAATTGGGGAATAACACATGAAGCAGTTTTTGCATGTTAATATATGACCGATTTTCTTTTAGTAATATATATTTTTAGTTCTAGTATTATCACATGGCCGTGTCTGGCTAAGAAAGTTTTTTATGTGTATATTCTCTAATCACAGTAAGGTTTTACTGTCGGATATACTAACCACAACTTAAGACGAATATTATAATATAATATCTTCAAAGGTACTATATAGCTATACAACTTCTAAAATGAGTGAGACCTGTTGTTCAAACACGCCCTATAAAACGTATAATTGAACTAAAATAATGGTGTTCTTAACAAGAGGTCAGCAGTGATTCAGTGTATAGTACCAATGCAGCATTTCAACCATACTTGTAACAAATAAACCAACTCGTCACACTGGTGTAAAACATAGAATCAATATGAGTATCAAAAAGCTTTGAATTGCAATAACAAATCGTTAAAACTATTCAATTATCCAATAAAAAAAGGGCACCGCAAGGCAGAGGTACCAACCTCAATGAATTCAACCAAACCTATTTTTAGGTTTTATTAAATTTTGTGTAATATAGGTGATGGTGTAAAATAAAAATAATATCACGATACTCCTTCATATGGACACTTAATAATTGGTTGATTTGAATTACAGTACATGAGAAAGTCCATCTGTAGGCCTACATAATTTTTCAAATAACATATATTAATACCTTAAAGTATCTGATGTATTGGGTAAAAGCACCCTCCAGGATTCCCCTCTACAACCTATTGCATAAACGACTTTATACAATTCGATTTGATTAGGGACGATAACGATTTTCTAGAACAGCATTAATTCTTATTTGCTTTATAAATTAATAAAAATTCAACATAATGATAATTTATTATATAATTTTGGATTTTGGTGTTGTGGTGTAGGCCTTATCTAAATTTACCTCAAGCCACCTAATATTTATTTTACAATATTATGCACAATTATATTTATGCGGAAGCATTTTACTAGTTTGACACTCTACATGAACTCTAATAAAACCTAAAGTTCATGATATACTTGGTTAAAAAATTAAATTTTTAGTGCTTTGCGAATAGTTTTACTTTACAAAATCATGAAAGCCATACGGCTGACATTAAAACCCCTTTTAAACGAGAAATAATTATTTTGTCAGAAATTTAACATTCAGAGGTAAATGGAGATGAATATTTCTTAAATAAAATCCTAATGTTTCTTTGGTGAAATAAAATACAGAACCATTTGTTTGGAAACGTTTGAGTGTCTCAGCTAAAGCTGTATGATATTCACCGCATTTAGGGTTATTAGAACCAGAGTTTATACACCGCACTGTTTCGGAGAGAATCGCCAGAAATACGCACTGCGTACTTTACAACAACTCCGACACTGAGGATTTGTACCCTCTTTTATCTCTTTAATGTTTCCCCAACAATGTTAAATTTTTAGAAGCTCCCATGGTTCACCAAAAAATTACTTGAAATATTTATTGAAGTGTTTTGCTATAACTTTTTCTATCGAGTTTTTTTTTTAACTGTATATGCATTAATATATATTTAAAACAACACTGTATAGTGAACTTATTTATTTCGAATATTGTATATGTATTGTTTTAAGATTGAATAATGTATAAAATTGTAGGTATCATTGTCAAATTTATGCCAATAGGCCTATTTTTTAATTTTATTTCTTAAAGAAGTCGGTGGCCTCTTTTAACCTTGAATTTGTCCGTCCACATAGACTAGTGCGTGGATCGTATACAGCAAAGCAAGGGGTGAGCCGGTACAGTACGAAGGTAAACTGTACTGATAAAATGTGTACGACAGTGACCAGGATCCGAACTCACGACATCGCTGTCTTGGGCTCGTGACGCTACCGACCGAGTCACCGACTCACCAATTTGTAGGCACTGTAGGCCTATTTTAAATTTGTACTATACTGTAAGAAATACATTATTAAGGGTTATCTCAATAGATGATTTATTTCAAAACCATGGTTGTGTTTTTGTTAAGAAAGAAGTGGTATATATTTTCTTTTTACATTCCAGATCCGTTTCCTTCACTTTGTAGAGCCGTTAACGACCTATCATAAAATCTTCCCGGAATAAATTAAAATATGAATTAAGAAACAAACCCTACATATCGCAACAGCAAACTCTATAGCTGATTTCCTTTATGTTGGTTATAATATTTTTTAATAACTTTTGAGGAATTTTCACCAAAGTACAATTTACAAATTGTTTTATAGTGTAACACTGATTGAAAGTTGCTGTTTCTTTTTTTTTTTTAAAGATATATCATTTTGTGGGCTTGTCAATTTAATTTTAATTATAATAACCTAGATAACTAATGCTCTGAGCATTTGCATAGTCTTATATTCAAGTGGGTCTAACAGAACCAT